TCCTCAACAAAATATTATCAAACAAAATGCAGCACCATATAAAAAAGATTATACATTATGACCAAGTAGATTTATCCCAGGAGTGCAAGGTTGGTTAAACATGAAACTCAATGTAATGTAATATATTAATAGAATAAAAGATAAAAACCACATGATCGTCTCAATAGATGCTGTCAGTCTGTTTGGGCTGCTATAACAAAATACCATAAACTGGGTATCTGATAAACAACAGAAGTTTGTTCATCATTGTTGTGAAGGCTGAGAAGTCAAAGGTCAAGGCACCAGCAGGTTTGGTATCTGGTGAGGGCTCAGTCCCTGCTTCCAAGATGGCGCCTTGAATGTTGCATCCTCACATGGCAGAAGGGACAAGGATCTCTCACGGGCCTCTTCTATAAGGGCACCAGTCTCACTCGTGAGGGCTATGTCCTCATGACCTAATCACTTCCTAATACCATCACTTTGGGGATCAGGTTTCAACATATGAATTTTAGGGGAAGATAAACATTCAGTCCATTGTAGATGCAAAAAAAGCACTGGCAAAAATCCAACACCCTTCATGAAAAATATACTTAGCAAACCAGGAATAAAAGGAAATTTCCTCAACCTGATAAACATTATCTACAAAAAAGCCACAGCTAATATCATGCTTAATGGTAAAAGACTGAATGCTTTCCCCAAAGATCAGGAGCAAGATAAGGATGTCTCCTCTCACCACTTCTATTCAGCATTGTATGGGAGGTCTAGACAGGGCAATTAGGCCAGACAAAGAAATCGAAGGCATCTACATTGGAAAGGAAGAAGTAAAACTATCTCTATTCCCAGATGACATGATTGTATACATAGAAAATCCTGAGAAGTCTACCAAAAAAACAATTAGAGCTAACAGATGAGTTCAGCAAGATTGCAGGATACAAGATCAATATTATAATAGCTATTGTATGTCCATACACTAGCAAGAACAATTCAAAAATGAAATTATAAACACAATTACAATTCATTTACAGTATCATAAAAATACTTATGAGTAAATTTAACAAAAGAAATGTAAGATTTGAACATTGAAAAATTTAAAAACATAGCTAAATAAATTAAAGATCTAAATTAATGAGAAAACATCCCACATTCATGGATAAGACTACTTTGGTATGATAGCAATACTCTTCTAACTGATTAACAGATTTAATTCAATCCCTATCAAAATCCCAACAGCCTTTTTTTTGTGGAAATTGACAAACTTATCCTAAAATTTGTATGGAAATGCATGAGACTTGGATTAGCCAAAACAGTCTTGAAAAGGAAGACCAAAGCTGTAGGATTCATACTTCCCAATTTCAAAACTTACTGCAAAGCTACAGTAATCAAGACAGTATGGTACTGGCTTAAAGATTTGTATCTCAATACAATAAAATTGAGAGTCCAGAAGTAAACCCTCACATACATGGTCAGTTGGTTTTTAGCAAGGGTTCCAAGACCATTCAATATGGGAAAGGATAGTCTTTTCAACAAATGGTGCTGGAAAAACTGATATTCACTGCATATGAATGAAGTTTGGTCTTTACATAACACCATATACAAAAATTAATTCAAAATGAATCAGAGACATAAATGTAAACTCTAAAACCATAACACTCTTAGAAGAAAACGTAAATCTTTGTGACCTGGAATTAGGGAATGGTTTTTAGATAAACAAAAAAGATAAACATAGGTAACGAAAGAAAAAATTAGACTTTATCATAATTCAGAATTTGTGCTTCCAAGGGCACCATCAAGGGACAACTTACAAAATGGGAGAAAATATTTGCAGATTATATATCTAAGAAGGATCTGGTATCCAGAATATATAAAGAACCCTTACAATTTGACAATAAAGAGTCAAATTACCCAATTTAAAAATGGGCAAAGAAGTTGAATAGATGTTTGTCCAAAGAAGATATACAAATGGCCAATAAACACATGAAAAGATACTCAACATCATTAGTTATTAGGGAAATTCAAATCAAAACCACAATGAGATGCTACTTTCCTCCTCCTAAGATGACAGTGGTCAAAAAGAGGGACAATAGCAAGTGTTGGTAAGGATATGGAAAAATTAGAACATCCATAAGTTGCTGATAAGAAGGTGAAATGACGTCGCTGCTTTGGAAAACAGTCTGGCAGCTTCTCAGAAAGTTAGAGATAGAGTTGCCATATTACCCAAAAAAGTAATATACACAAGTATATTACTAAGTATATACACAAGAAAATTAAAAATATATGTCCAACCCGACACTGGTACATGAACATTTATAGCAACATTATTCATATTAGCCAAAAAGTGGAAACCATCCAAAAGTCTGTTGACTGGTGAATGGATAAAGAAAATGTGGTGTATCCATACAATGAGCTATTGCTAAGCCATAAAAAGGAATGGAGAGAAAATGCTACAGAGTGTGTGAACCTTGAAAGCGTTATGCTAATGGAAAGAAGACAAACCCAAAAGACGACCTGTTGTATGACTGCATTTATAGGAAACGTCTAGAATAGAGACATGAAGTAGATCAGTGGTTGCTGGGCTAGGAGGGGGCGATGGAGAATGACCACTAATGGGTTTGGGTTTGTGGGTTGATGGAAATGTTCTGGAATTAGATAATAGTGATGGTTACACAACTTTGTGAATATAGCTTAAAACATTGAATTATACATCTTAAAAGGGTAAATTTTATGATATGTGAATTGTATCTCAATTGAAAGTGTTTAAGAAAATATTTTTTGAGCATCTACTGAGTTTCACGTACTGTCTAGAAGCTGGGTAGGCCACCACATTCGAAGTCCCTTGCGGAGCTGACGTTCTAGTCTGGGGGTAAACAGGCAATAATCAGTAAGCAAGGCAGCGCGTAACATGCTCAGAAGAGAAGTACAGAAACAGGGTAAAGGGCAGAGTGCTGGGGGAGGTGTGCTGTTTCAGACAGGAAGGTCAGGGAGCTCCTGCTGGTACGGTGAGAAAGACCTGAGCTGTGGAGGGAGCTAGTCGCGGAGCCCTGAAGGAAACGCATTCTAGGCGGAGGGAACAGCGACGAGACTGGGGTGTGCTGGAGGGGGCCGGTGCTCCCGGAGAAAAGCGAATGTATGGGGGAGGGAGAGAGGCGAGACGAGGAAGCGTGCGTGTGTGGTGGGGCCAGTTGTGTAGGGCCTTATAGGCTGTAGGTGGGAACTTTGGATTGGATCTTGGATTTCGCTCTGGGCGAGATGGGAAGCGATTAGATGGTTCCGAGCAGAGCTATACGTAATTCGATTTGGGGTTCACAGAATCCCTCTGGCTGCTGCAGGGAGAATAGCTAATAGCGGACAGGTGCGGAAGTGGGAGTGTCACCTGTTAGGAGGTTATTGCAGGAAGCCAAACAAGAGGTGGGGTCACTTAGGCCAGGGGAATCAAAGTCCCACCTGGAGATGCTGAGAAGCGGTCCGATTCCAGATGTGGTTTGGAGGGATGCCTCTAAAGCTTCTCTTGACCATTACCTGGATCAACCTAACAAACTCAGGCGCACAGCCCCCTGCACCAAAGCCAGTCCTTCCGTTTAGAAGGTGTATTTGAGAAGAGCTGGGAGGAGAAGGGAGGGAGGCCGTGGCTCACACTCATGTGTTGATACTTTTTGAGCCCATCAGACCTTTCCCCATTATTGAACGTTTGTGTGTTCTTCCAAAGTGAGAGCGGCTCAGTATCTCTTTGTACGATCCAGAGGCTCCTCCCATTCAAGTCCCACCTCCTCTTTCTTCTTTTATAGGTCAGGCAGGACTCTTCTTGGGTGCCTGGTTCCCCTTAGGAGCTGGAGAGATTCACGGGAGCTTAGGAGGGAAAATCCAGCTTTGCTCAGTAACCCTCGGCCTCTTGCAATTCCTGACTCTCTAAGCAGTGCTCTTCCATCCTCAGTCAGGAGCCCGTTGCAAAGTTTCTTACTGTGACCTTGAGTCCATGAATACCCCCTGATGTTGCACCCTGCAGACCCTCACGGAATATCTGGCCATTAACAGCATGCTGCCATTTAAGTGATATGTCCTGACAACTTCTCCAGTTCCTGCCGTGCTTCCCTTCCCACCCCATGAAGTCCCCGGGCCCTCGTGGTCTCCACCAGCAGTCCCCCAAAACACACACTGGCTTACAGTGTCTCCACCCACCTCCTTTCCCCATGCAGGGATCACGCCTCTAAAACTCAAGAAAATCTGGGGCCACGAAGCCTTGCAGTTATTAACAAAGTGAATTAACAAAGTTAATTTCCAATTGCAGTTTCACAAACAGGATTCTCAGACTTCTTCAATTCAGCGAATTCGTACGGCAGGGCACAAGTGCGGTTCTCTGCCTGGGACATCTGGCCCTAGATGGTGCATTCTCCTGGGAATTATGACACTTTTTGTCCTGGAGTGGTCTCCACGTTTAGTTCCAAGGTGGCGATTTAATCTGAGGAGAGCTGCAAACTGGGTCTTAGACAGTTGCCCTCACAGAACTGGGCTGCCTCGAGTTCCATCTCAGAAAACCACTCAAACGCTCAAACAAAACCAAAACAGACGAACAGACAGAAAACACTGTGAGCCTGATATGGAAAAGGAAACAGAAAATTAAATCTTTACTGAGGCATCTGCTAAAACACTGAGGATTCTAACCAAAACATGCAGCAAAACTCCCAAATCTTCTTTCCCTCTAAATACCTAGGACAGTACTGTATAATCCTGACCCTCCCACCGACATCTTGCTCTTCATTATCTCCAAAGCACCCCAAACTCTCTAAAAGCGCTTGTGCCTTCTCTCTCCCTCTGCCCCCCACCTTTCCAGGTGGTGCCCCCAGGTCTCTGCTCCATGTGTTTCTCTGACGAGCATGACCAAAGGCCAGGCCTGTCTGAACAGCAAAGATCTCTTCTCAGAAGTGATGGAGGGAGGGAAGGAAGTGGTAGCCATTCAGAAATTAATTTTTCATCTTAATCCTGCTATAAAATTTATGTTTTATCATTGTGAACCTTCTGTGTTACAGAATGTAGAACTATCTCAATGGGGCAAGGACAAGAAGTACATGCTCGAAAGCTGATTCAGATGTCAATGCAGCAGGTGCGTGACAAAGACAACGGCTCCCACTGCGTTGCTGTTGCTAGGATGTAGTGATGGGTGAAGCATTTCTTCCTGGGATGCTCAATCCTTATTTTACATTTTTGTTTATGTATATATAGTAAATCTTTGATTACCTGTGAATTTTAAACCTCCATCTAATTTCCTCCTGACATTCCCATGAAAGGCCTGTTCCATAGAGCTTACAGTATAAGCTCTATTTTATTTTCACTAGTTTTTTGTTTGTTTTACACTTTGGAAGAAACATCTTCTGGTTCCTAAGAATGCAGCTCTAGCAGTCTTGGAATTTCATGATCAATATTAATAGATAGTACTTAAGAAGTGACAGATTGAGACAGTTAAACTTCAATTTTTGGTTAAAGGCAGGCTTTCATTTTTCATTAACAGATTCAGGCAAATAAGAAATATGTTTAAATATCGATAATGCTTTTTGTTGAAAATTGCAAGCTGAATGGAATGTTGAGAAATATTTCCCATCACAACTAATAAATACACAGGACATTAATTTTCTAGAAATGCTCTATTGACAGCCGTTTCAGCTGTAATAAGAAATGGCACCATTTATAAAAATAAAAATAAGATCTTAGTTTATTTTTAAGCTTTTGATCTTATAATGTCTGTACAAACTTTGGTGAAGCTTTTCCCTGGGAATTAATGACCAGAGAGGGTTAATGGGCTGAAACTCTGCTTGGGTCATCAAATTTTTAAGCTAGTCATTAATTTTCAAATGCCCTAAGCCTTAATCTTTATCATTTAATTAAATTCAATAATATATTTAATTTATCTATATATCAAAGCAATTATATGTAATTATTTTTACCCAGATCAAATGTTTCACTCTATTGAGTGATTTGACAGTTTAACTTTAGGCCTTAAATAATTTCTTTAGTTTCAACGAGTGAGACATTTTTAAATTCAAACACTGCATTCCCATTAACTTGCTTTGGAATGCTAGTTTTTATAACTTCCACGTTCTGTTGCTCAAGGTGGGGTAAGGATTGATACTAATGGCATTACTGGGGGAAAAACCACATGAACAGGTGCAGCCGTGTCACCACCTTGAGGGACACCAGATGTAGGATCAAGAAGACATTGCGGAATGCAGAGTAGGGAACCAGAAAGTCACTGGGTCTATGAGCATGCAGACGAATCCTGAATTCCGTCTTCCTCTGAATGCCCCAGTTATACAGACCAACACATAACCCTTGCTATTTAAGCCAGTCCAAGTTGCATTTTCTCCTGCAGTTGAAGGTGTGATATATATGCCTTACTATACATTTATTTAGCTCACTATTTTGTGGTTTATATAGCTGATTGCTCTATGAGCAAATGAAACATTCAAGTGTTGTCTGGTTAAGAAACTATGTTCTCACAGGGCAGGGATGGCTATATGACTTACATTGTTAAAGGTACTTTATCAAGCATTTATTTAGATAGTACTTAATAAGTTATGTGGCTTCAGGAATGTGTGGGAAGAGTGAAGTTAAAGAGTAAGATTTAGTATTATGGTAGCAAATGCCACCAAATGTATCGTCTCCAACTTTCATGAGACAACGTGTCTTTCTTTGTAACTATGACCATGAACCTGTCTTCTTGGTTTTGGTGAGTCAGTTTTGATTTGCCCTAAGCAGGACAACTTAAGTCACCAATTCCAAAATACCCATTCCCACCATTAGATGGTGCACACACTGTACTTACGTACACAAGTCTGCCTTGAAGTTTAATTTCTGTTCCTTTCTGAACCAGGGGTGGCAGAATACAATCATTTTGAGCCCACTTGACTCCAAGTAATCAGCTTCTACCAGTAGCAGAAGAAATAATTGTATTGACATGTAATTTTTTAAAAAGTGCTCAAAACAGAGTATTCACATGTTCTAAACAAAGCGTTTTTTAAAAATTCGTCCATTTTGTTTTATTGAAATCGTAGCAAAAAGTTACGGGAAATAAATACGACTCATTTTTGGATACAGGGTGGCTGGGTATTACTGCAAAATTGTCACCTCGGCCTGGAATTCATGGAAGAATTACTAGAGACACTAAGTACTACTGAAGCCAGTGATGATTCTTTCCGAGTATGGATAACCACCGAGCCCCACGATCGATTTCCAATCACGTTGCTTCAGGTTTGTTACTCTGAGATACGTGTCTTTTCGTTGAGAGTTATATGAGTAAAGACGGCATAACTGCCGTTACTGAGAGATGAAAACACAAGCGGGGCTGTTTGGTCCAGTGGAGTCTGCACTGCAAAATCTTGACTATAAACATCAGGGTTAGACTATAGTATTAATAGATATTTTCACAAAAGAGTTCTAAGGCCTGGATGATCCCAGCACTCTGGGAGGCCAAGGCGGGAGGATCGCTTGAGCCCGGGAGTTTGAGACCAGCCTGAACAAGAGCAAGACCCCATCTCTACTAAAAATAGAAAAAATTAGCCGGGCACAGTAGTGCTCGCTTGTAGTCCCAGCTACTGGGGAGGCTGAGGCAGGAGGATCGCTTGAGCCCAGGAGTTTGAGGTTGCTGTGAGCTAGGCTGACGCCATAGCACTCTAGCCCAGGCAACAGAACGAGAGTCTGTCTCAAAAAAAAAAAAAAGGGTTCTAAGACTTGGTACTAATTTACTGGGTTTCAGCTCTGATTAATGTAATTAGTTTATACAGTGCTGAATTTTAGCCCACATTTTGTGTATTTATAAGCATATTGTTGTCTGATGTACAGATTGAGCATCCTAAATCTGAAAATCAAAATCTGAATTTCGGATTTTTGGATTTGGGATGCTCGGCCAGTAAGTACGATGTTAATATTCCAAAATCTGAAATGCAAAATACTTCCAGTCATCAAGCCTTTCAGATAAGGGATATTCTACCTTATTATAATGCATCGCAAGTTCTATTTTATTCTTTATAGTAATTTGTAGAAACAAAACAACTGTTTGCTTTTTATGACAGACTTCCCTCAAATTCACTAATGAGCCACCCCAAGGTGTACGCGCGGGTTTGAAAAGAACATTTGCTGGAATTAATCAAGACCTTCTGGACGTCAGTAATTTGCCCATGTGGAAGCCAATGCTTTACACAGTAGCGTTTTTACACTCCATTGTGCAGGTAACTTGGAACGCGGTCTCACGTCTAGGGGATGGCCGGTGCTGCCATGTGGCCTTCCGGGGCGGCTCTGGTTCATCTTCCCTCCCAGCACGGCCCCCCCCCCCACACCCCGGGTAGAGCGTGCAATCGTTCGTGCATTTCCTGCACGCCCCCACCCCTGCCCCCGCCCTGGCCACGGGGACGCGGCATTCTGCAGGGCCAGGACTGCCTGTCTGCAGCGGCTGGATCTCCCGCTGCCACTGCAGCGTCCGGGACGTAGCCAGAGCTCGGCAGGTGTTTGCAGGATGGGCACACGGATTACCCGGATAGGAGCTTGGTTTTGAAAGTGCCTGTGCTGGCCCGGAATTCCATGGGCACCATCTCATGTAATGCTGACAACCACGTTTCGGGGTAGGATCATCACCATCTCAGAGAGGAGGAAATCGAGCCTCAGAAAGGTTAAGCGCACCTCGCGTGTGGTAGCTCGGGGACTGCCGGGCTCCGGTTTACTGCGTTTTGCCCCCGTTTATAACCCATTAGTAAAAGCGGTGGTGGCGCTGGAGGAGGAGGAGAGCAGTGCTTTACGGTCTGAGTACTTAGCAGCAGTTTAATACTTTTGTGGTTACCAAGCAACTTGTCTCCAGGACTTTTAATTTTTTTGTTATTGTTTTGTTCTGCATTTGAAAGCTGTATGATTTCAGTGCATTCTTGATTTCACAGAGAATTGAAGGGGCTCCTTTAACCCCTTCCTTCATTCCTTCCCTCCCTGAGGCTGGGGTGAGGGACAAACGCGTCAACTGGCACGTCCCGGGATGGTGCTTCCAGCTGCACAGTGGCGTGCAGGGCTTCACCTCGCCGCTCTCCGCCCTGCGCGAGGGCAGAGGGGTCTTGAACGCTTGCCCCGGAAGACACGGGGTGTCCCCCCCGGCTCGTCATCCCTGCCCAACGGAGAGGGCTGCGGGATTTTTCTGTCTCCCAACGCTGAGAGAGTTAAAACTCAGATTAAGTGCTTTGTTGGTGGTTATTTTTACTAAGTTCCACTGTGGCCTTTGGATTGTAAATTACAGCTTTCAAGTCACTGAAGCCTGTTTCATACATTCTTATCTAGGAAATGTTCGCTTTGCTAGACCTTACCACACGCTAATACAAATATTGCTTTAACTCCGTTATTTAATTCCCAATTCACAAATAATGTTTTTTATGATTCTGTTCCCAGTAGCGATGATTCAACTCTTCCACTGTGCTTATCATGGAGAGATAATTGGGGGTATTTTCCATATGGTTAATGCAGCAACCTGTGTTTCTAGTGGCCATTATCTAAGCGCCAAACAAAAGAAAAGCAACAGGACCGTGGTCCAGTTATGGGGCAAAAGTGTGCTTGCACTTAATACGCATGTGTTTAGGTTAAAACAAGGAAAAATATTCCCTCTGCTAGGGCCTTGAAGCTAATAGTGGTGTGTCCTTAAAAAGAAAAACGACCAAAATGTTGAATATCTCTTAAAATCAAATAGCAGTGTGCTGGAAGTGGCACTCCACCGAGAGTCGGGAGGCCTGGACTTCACCCAGTTATCCGGGTGCGGCTGACCGAGTTATGTCTCTCTCAGGGCCTCCGTGCGATCAGCGCTGAAGTGGGGGATCTTTCATGATTCTTCCATTTCTAAAACTCTGTCATCCTGTCCTGTGACAACACAGCAAGTATAGGTAATTCAAACATATTTCCCTCTATTCTTTTCTCATCGATGTCAGAAACGTTTACAGCGATATTTCAGAAATCATACAGAAATTTCAGAATCATGTTTGAGAAATATTGTTTACTGTGACATTGCCTAAATATTTTTTTTAACTTGGTTGGGATAGAGCCAGCTTGATAGAAAAGTCCAGAATTCTCTAGGGACTGCCATCCTGGGCCAGCAGCATCGACGTCACTCGGGAGTTTGTTAGAGATGCATCCCAGGTCCCACCCCAGCCTGCTGAGTCAGAATCCGCGTTGTAATAAGATGCCAGAGGGCTTTATGTGCACGTGGAAGTTTGAGGCGCGACTACTGTAGGAAGGAAGGTTGTGCGTTGGATAATGACTTACGTTTCTTTTATCTCTGCAGCATCAAACGTAGGAGATAAAAATCTGATTTGTTAATTGAGTTCTCCAAATTAACACGGGTATCCCTGCTTTATGCAAGCATGATGTATATACTTTTGTCACTGCAGAGACTGAAAAAAGAATTAGTCATTAGTTCATGTCACATAATCTGAACTTTCGGAGCTGGGGAGGGGTGTGCACGCTGGAGTCCACCCCACGTTACAGTGGAGGAGAGCCCAGTGGTAAAATAGCCAACCCCCTGCCTGGTCCCCACTGAAAATGTAATTCGTCCCACTGAATCCCCGCTCGGCACTACACCATCACCTCACCCCAGTTCAAGGGCGTGATGTGTAATGGGGACCCTACTCCTGTGGCAGGGAACAAAATGAGCACCCCTCCTTTCCTAGAGGAAGAGGAAGTAGATTTGGCTGATCAGGGACAGTTTTTCTTATTCCCAGCACTCTGGCAAGTGCCTGGGCTCTGTTTGGCCACCACTCCCTGAGAACATTTCAACATCCTCTTGAAGATGACCTCTGAATCTTCTCTCTGGCCTCAATAATCTCTCCACGGTTTCCTGGGAATTCCACTGCAACGTCGTTCTGGGTTTCAGAGCAAGCCCACATTCACCCTTTGGGATTTTAAATGTAAGCACATTTTCCTCCAAAGCCTTGGTCTTTTGAAACTCATTGCATTTTTTAGTCTCCTCCCAACACCTCCTACAGAAGGTCAGAATAACGTTGTATGGGTTCTTTCCTATTGATGGTCAATGTACCACTCTTTGAGGGGTGCATTGGATGAGTAAATGTCTTAATCAATGACTCTCAGCCAGTGCTTGGACCCCAGAACACCTAAATCGGAACCCCTGGGAGGAGCAGAGGGAGGCGGTATCTTCTTAGAAACTTCCACGTGATTCTAACATGCAATGAGGATTGAGAATGATGGCCAAACACCATAGCCCTTGAGGAGTCTTCAGCCATTTTTACATCCGTTTCATGGTTTGGAATTTTTCTCCCCACCACCTTAGTTTGCCCACATTGAGCCTCACGTTTCTGACTTTTCTAAAAGCTTACAGCTTTTACGGAACTCTGAGGTTTTGTTTTGTTTGTTTGTTTGTTTGCTAAGGTTAATTGATTCGGATCTCTAAGGGCCCGCGATGGAGTTGCAAACTTAGAAATTTTATTATGTCCCTTAAAAATAATTTAAATATTAAGTAAAAATGGCCATATCCACAGGGCCCAGGGAATTCCACAATTAATAGTTCTTCATTAAGAAAAGTGTTTACTTCCCCTGCATTTTGTTTTCTTTCTCAAGTTTGAGCCTCAACAAACACTCCTTTCAAATTTAATAGTGTAGGCAAAGTTCTTGCTTTGGAGAGGCATGATTATAAAATTCGTGGTTTAAATGTCTTCACATGATTATGATAATGTGACACAGGTTTATCTTTTCAGTCTCCACCCTGTAGTGTTTCCTAGCACTTCTGACTATTTCTGTTACTTATTTTTACCTGTTAAAGTTCCCATTATATGGTCTAGTATGGATTGTGTTTTTCATTCTATATTAGCTGCGGTTATTGGAGTTAGTTAACTCCAGTTGTTTTGTTTTGAAGATGCAAGTGAAGAGATTTGGCATTGGGAGCTGCTGAGGTAGTTTATCTAACATAAAATTGGAAATAGCTTTGACATCATTAAAATGATGACTCCTTGGGCAACTTTTCATCAGTGTTGTACGGAGTTTTTCATATTTCCAAGTTTTCCGTATTTCGCTAGTAGTTCTGTGTTTTATATATTCTTTGAAATAAAAAGAAGGAACTATATTGGTCAAATTAAGTAGGGAGTAGACTGGTCTTCCTAAAATCATCACTCTCCAACTTAACAAAGTGTAATAACTCCCTTCTGTTGAATGACGTTTCAACATTCAAATCTGCCTATGTTCCATGCCTGAGGCTCGTGCTGCTACTCACCAGAGCTGGCTGCTACTGGGGTAGAAGCTTCTACCTGCAGTGTCCTTCTTCACAGATCACGAGCTTTGTGTTCCTGTCTTGCTCGTGGCCTTTGCTAAGCCTGCAAGTCTCCTCTCTCCTCTTTTCGAAGACTGTCTTCGGTTTCATTCTTCCCAGAAGCCTCTCGATCAGATGTTCAATTAACATCTTCAGGCTTTTGCCGCCTGCTAAATTTCGACAGTTAAACTGCATTCACTATCACATTGTCCTTTTCTTGTTTCTAAGTCTGATTTTCTCAACTAGATTAAACCCTGTGAAAATACATCTATTTAAATATTTTCCTATTGTACTACATAGGACTCATCCCAGGGTTTCAGAAATACTAATTGGACTGAAGCAATTCAGTGCTCCAAATAAGTATAGCAAAACTCCTTGCTTTTGAGCTTCCAAATGAGTTCTTAGGTTCCAGTGGTTCGAGTCTATCTCGATAGTATTCAAAGGTAATAAAAAAAAAAAATGGCAGGAAGGTGAGATGACTTCATTTGTGAAGACACCCACCAAGACACCCAAAAGACACCCACCAAGATTTTGTCTTTTTTTCCCAAGATGAACTAATCAGTTTATTATGACTTTAGTGAACCAACTTAAAAAGTAAATGCTCTAAATGAAAATTGGTAGTAAGAAAAATGTGAAGCAAATCTCAGCATTCGCTCAATTTTCAGAGCTCACATTTTAAAAAGCAACTAAATTGCAATTGCTCAGTGCATATAAATGGGAGTGTTTCCATAGAGCCAATTTAAGCAGCTTCAGTAATTGAAAAGAATTATTTTTCATACAATCCTGTCTAATTGAACATTAAATTTTAAAAACTAAGTCAAACACATAGGTAAAACCAATAGTGTAGATTTTGATTCTCTTTTCCAAAAATGGGAAAACATTCATATTACACTAAAATAAGTGTTAGCATTCTTCTCTTCGAAGTCCTCGAGATGGAAGACATTCCAGGGACTAAAGTGTTAGCTGTACACATTTTCCTGTTAATATCCCATAGATTCTCTTAATCCTCCTTTGCTCTTGGAATAGCCTGGAAAAGGCTCACCTTGATGTTTCTGAGCTCCACTCCAGAAATTCAAAACACTGCATCAGCCTGGGAACTGACTGCCCAGAGGGCTAGAGGGCAGTTCCTTTCATTCTGATGATAATCGGCCAAATGTTTATCAGGCAACAGTGAGGCTTTCCCCAAATGTGCGGGTGCAAAAGGAGAGACAAAAATAGGAGACATGTTTTTCACTGTCGAGGCTCAAAATCTAGTTACAGGACCAAATATTTCAACATGAAACCACTAAAAAAACAAACCAAGGCAATGCGAGTGCTGGGCCCAGGAGGCACAAAGCCATGGAGAGAAGAAAAGGGCTTTAAGGAGTACTCTTCAGCTGTAAGAAACAACGGTGATCTAGCACCTCTTGTATTCTCCTGGATAGAGCTGGAACCCACTCTACTAAGTGAAGTATCCCAAGAATGGAAACACAAGCCCCACATGTACTCACCATCAAATTGGTTTCACTGATCATCACCTAAGTGCACATATAGGAATAACATTTATTGGACATCGGCAGGTGGGAGGGGGAGGAGGGGATGGGTATATACACACCTAATGGGTACGGTGCGCACTGTCTGGGGGATGGACACGATTGAAGCTCTGACTCGGGTGGAGCAAGGGCAATATACGTAACCTAAACATTTGTACCCCCGTAATATGCTGAAATAATAATAAAAAAAAGAACCGTTCTTGCGCCTGGGACCACAGTCTCTTCTTCCGTCAAGACCGTGCCTCTGTTCCTCCTCACCTCCTCTTGTACAAGGTGGAAGGCGGCACTTCACGGCTCTTGAGTTCACAGGTTTTCCTAGTATAAACTCCAGATAGTGATCCTGAACCCTAGGTCCAAATTCCTGGGAGAAGGAATCTGGTCAGTTCTTCTTGGGCTGGTTGTCCGCCTTTCATCAAATTAGCTAAGGGATGCGACGTGAGTCGTGTAGTAAAAACCTCTAACACTTAATGACCTAACCGAAAGAAGTGCAGGTCTAGAAGTAATGGTAATATTTTACATTTTTAAGAGTTCTTTTCCCTTTTTTGCCCTTAGTCTGATCTCCCAGGGTCAGAACATTTGGACCCAAATTAATGTTTATGGTTTACTCAATACTTTAAAAAGCATGCCCTGAAAATCAGTAATTAAAAACTTTGCACTTTCTGAATTTCTTCTCTGATTTGTCCATGAACTTGTCCAAGCAAAAATTTATTTAGATTCCTTTACATGGTGGGATTATTCCAGATCTGAAGCATGGAACAGCTGTAGTAAGAAGGACTGGAATGGCTTGTAAAAACACGTGTGCATATGTGTGTGTGTGTGTTTGTGTGTGTGTGTGTGTGTTGGATTGGGGAGGGAAAGAAAAGTTAGTATATGTTTAGAGTTAGAGAAGTAGAATTAAACATTCTTGTACATGTCTAGGGATCCTACTGTCTATATGGTCCTCACCTTAGGCCCTAGGGGCCTGGGCGCTGATCCAAATGAACCACTGGGCCTTCCTGCCTTAGAGGCTGATTACGTGCCAGGCAGCACAGGAAAACGATGGCATGAAAACACGTGGACGGATCTGTATGGTTTTCTGGGTAATCAGCACCTGGAGATGGCAGTTCTAACGCTTACATCCCTTCACCGTGGTCTCCAGAATATCAAAGCAATCGAATCATTTGCTCTGAGTGCAGTTTGATTATTTACGGGTAATGAACACTTAGCCACTATTTCCTGGGAGTCTTTTAGGCCCTATTCAGTTAAGTAGGGAGAACCAAATGAGGCTTGTGTGACAGTTTAAGACAGATGTGTCATGTGTACGATAGAAATTCTTAATTTTCAAAATCTGAAACAGCACGATTTCAAAGTAAAGCTAGCAGGGAGTCTGAATGCTCTTGTGTGGTTAAGTTACCCAACTCGAAAAATCCAAACCCTGACACTGACATTTCAAACTTTTAAGAGTCCAGTTTAGATTAACAATTCATTCGGCAGATATTTATCGAGCTCCTACTGTATTTTTTGAGTTGTCAGTGGGCACCTAGACTTTTTTAAACCCAAGAACTCACGCTTGGGAAATATTTGGAGATTTGTTTCTGTAATCCATTGAACCATGAAATAAAATTTCTAATGGTTAATACAGTTCTGTGCCACAGAATAGTGTTTCTGTCAACAACTACATATATGGGATCGTCCCACCCCATAGTTTTACTGCGCTTTTCAATGTTTAGATACACAGACACCATTGTGTTATAATTTCCCGCAGTGTTCAGCAAAGTAACATGCTGTGCAGGTTTGTAGCTAGGAGCAATAGACCATGCCATAGAGCCCAGGTGTGTAGTAGGCTATACCATCTGGGTTTGTGTAAATACACTCTATGATGGCCACACAGGTTTTCAAAATGTAACCCCATCATTAAGCAACACATGACTGTATATCCTAAATTGTATATGCTGTTCTTTTAAGACAGTGTTATCTTCTTTTGATAACACGGCCTTAATTTTACCATATTTTGTTCAAAATAAAAACAGAATCAGCTACAGATAATTTTAAAAACCCACTCAATACTTTTCTTTGGTGTTTTTAAGGAGCGACGAAAATTTGGTCCCTTAGGATGGAATATTCCCTATGAATTCAATTCTGCCGACTTTTCCGCCAGTGTTCAGTTTATTCAGAATCACCTCGATGAATGCGATATCAAAAAAGTGAGTGACGTTGTTTCTTTTTTCCATTTTTATTGCTGTCCTCAAATCAGAGCTCCGCTGGTCATTTTCAGTCGATGATACCGAGTGAACTCGCTGAGGGCCCGCCAACCCCCTTCATTTTGATCAGGTGTCCACTTGCCTGGCCTCCTGCCCCCACCAACACTCACACACAACAGAAGCTGACATCTGCAGCTGAGCTCAGGGATGAAACTCGGCGCGCTGCAAAATAGCACAGCCTTCCTCATTCGCACGCAGGGGCCACCATGCACTTCCACAGCAGGTGCGCCTTGGGTGGGCTCTTCCTCGCTGACCTCGCTCACGCCTCCTCCGAGTGCAAGTGGTCTCTGCCAGCCCACATGAAAGTTCTTTTCCACCATGAGCCACTTCGTAAGTAACCGTTAAACGTATGCGTATAAATGGCAATTGTTGCTAATCACCCTACGGCGCGTTGCGGCTTTCAAAGTGCTCGTGTGTGCAAAGTCTCCTTTCTACCTTCCCAGCTCCATGAAACTCTGCGAGGTGGGTAAAGAAGCATCACTGTTGTCCCGTTTTACTGATGAGGTCGCAGGCAAGAGACTAAGAGACTTTCTCAGGTTCGCAGAACTAAGAACACAAACCCATATATGCATAAAGGGTTAGAAATTTGGTTTTTCTATCATCTCGAGCAAGTTAATGAGCCTCGGAGCCTGTTTCCTCATCTAGAAAATGGCCAGGGTTTCTGGGAGGGATGAATGAGTTAGTATTTGTGAAAGTACAGTACATGGTGCATAATAAGGGCTCAGTAATTACCACTTTCTACTGTCTATTCCTCTCTTCTTCTCCACACTAGGCCTGCGAGATCACGATAGATGCTGCAGTATTAGTGTGGTGATGGTGAGCTGTGATGAATGTTTACTCTAGAACCAAACCGTCAGTTTCCCTTGAAATGACAGAAGGATATGAAATTAAGAGTAGGGCTGGGCACGGTGGCTAATGCCTGTAATCCCAGCTACTTGAGCTATCTCGAGCCCAGAAGTTCGAGGCTGCAGTGAGCTATGATTATGCCACTGCCCTCCAGCCTGGGCAACAGAGTTAGACCCTATCTCTTAAAAAAAAATTAAGAGCATGGCAGTTCAATGAAAAATTATATTGTATGGGCTGGGCGC